GCCGACAACAGTTTTCCTAAATATTTTATATATACACAAAAATCCAATCTGTACAACGGAAAAGAAAATCCTAAAGAAAACACAGAGGCATTAATTTTATCTGTTTCCACTAATTTTTGCATATATTCTTATGAGAAAGACTTAACAAAATCTCTAGGAGGTAACCGGTTAGGAGTTAGGACGACCAACCAACCAACTCGGCTGTGTCTGGCTTCATCGAAATTAACCATCTCTAAGATTTTCACCGAATTGTTGTTCTACCAAATGACGATGCTCCGATTCCGCTCTCCCTGTTCTGAGAATAGAAACTGTGAGTTATGCATTGTTCATTTTCGAAGAATTAAAAAATTTAAGAATCCGGAGCATATGTTTGATATGGTTCTTTACCTGAGATTTCGGGGAAGGGAAGACATTCCAGAATCTTAGGGTTTCATCTCCTGCTCCCGTCACGATCGTCTACAAGATATAAAATCACACAAGAAAGCGTGTTGATGCAAGCGTATGAGATGATGAACATAATGAGAAATATGCAATGGAAAGAAAAAAAAGACTAACCTGCCCATCGGGTGAGACTGCGAGGTACAGAACGCGGAACGTGTGACCCGTGAGAGTTGCCAGCTGTAAGAGAAGAAAAAGAGCAGATCATCAAAATCCCCAACCTAGTAAGAAAGGGAAGAAGCCGAAATAAAGAACATAGAAATCAATCTTACTTTAGACATGGTTGGATATTTCCAGACAATGATTTGGTTCTGAGAATATCCGTGCGTGCTCACAAGCTCATTCACGTTCTTTGACCAAACCAGATTACATACCTATATAAGAAAAGTCAGGTTATTTACCCCAGTAAAACCCCGATGCGAATTGTCGGTTTTTATGTTCAAAGCCAGAATTAGCAGCTTTACCTGACTGTTCGTGTCTATGCAATTTAGATGAGTATTTGTCGTCGTGTTCCAGAAACGGATACACCTATCAGCAGTGCCACCACCGGAAGCAAGAACCCCGTGAAGATGTGGGGACCATGCAATGGCTTTAACCGCTGCTGTGTGTTCACCGTATTTCAAAACCGGTTGTGTTGAATGTTGGTTCCATACAAAAAGCTGCAAGATCCTAGCATCATTACCCATCTTGCAAAAATCATGATTCTTAAGACACCAAAGGAAGAATACATATTTACCTTATTGTCGTTTCCGCCTGATGCTAGCTCGCGATTGTCATGAGACCATTTGAGTCCACAGACTTCGGATTTGTGACCTGTTAGCTTACCGACATGATCTTCTTGAGACCGTATGTCTCTCTGAAGTATTTTCTTGTCTCTGCTACCAGAAGATAGAATCGATGAGCTCCATGCCAAGGCCCCAACTCTTAGACGATGACCTTCCATTGTTCTTATTCTCTTGCATCGTAACACATCCCAGATCTAGTGAGGAATAAAAACAGTAAGTTCTCCATAAAAAGATCATAACTCCTTCCTCAAATATAAAGAAAATTGATAAGACATCCAAATTTCAGACATCCATTAAACAGTTATGCAATCCGTGCCTTATGATACAACAATAGCAAAAGCAACATCCTCAAGTTCTAATCGGGTCGTGTAATTCTACCTAGTATCCGATGAAAATTCTTTCCACATTCGAAAAGTAAAGTTATATAGAGGCATGCATGGACTCAAAACAGCCAAATGTGCCTTGATCATCTTACCTCTACTGTTCCGCTACTAGTTCCAATCGCTAAATGTGTTCCACGTAGTGCCCAACCCACTGAACAAACGCTGTCATCGCCCCCAAGATCGCATAACTTAGTTACCTGCAACAAAAACAGGAAGAAATCCCCGTCAAAACACTTCTCGTGAGAGTCAAAAAGGTTATAGACCAAGGGAACAAAAAAAAACTCACCTTGCTACTACAAGCATTCCACAAATACACGCAGTTCCCCAATCCCACTGCAAGAACATTCTGCGCCGACCAATCAACGAGATTCAAGTAAAAATCATCTTGCAGAGCCGGCGCATCCAATACCTAATAACAACAACAAGAAGCCTCTACAATCATACAAAGGACAAAAATGCAATTGATATCAAACTAAATAAAGAGTCAACATTAAGCAATCTTCAAAAACAGTTCAATCCACAACTACCAAAGACTTTCACCAAGATCTCACAAAGCTTCATACAATCAAGAATCACAAGTCTCAAAAACCTAAATCTATCAGAGAAAAGCAAACAATTTTCACCAAAGAGCAGAGATTTCTAACAACCCCTAAATTCAATACACAAACCCTAAATAAAACCCCAAAAACCCTTAACAAATCTTCACAAAGATCGAAAGAAGCTCTAACCTTATAAGCCGACCTAACTATCTTCCTCGGCAACTTGGCCGGACTACGACTAACACCAGGAGCCTCATCACACCCAAAAGGCGAGAACGTATTCAAAGACCTCTGCGTTTCCGTCTTATACCGGAAAATATTCCGAGACGGAGAGAAACCGGCAACGACATCTCTCTTCTCCGGCGTTACCGGTCCGAAAAGCGCGGTTCTCAAAAGACCCGCGTACGAACCGGCACTGTCTTCTTTCCGGTCCTTGTTGGGAGACGATTCGAGACCAAAAAGAGCGAAATTGGAACCGGATCTACTGGGGATAAACCTATCGGAGTATATAGGTTTAGAAGGAGAGTGGTAATGGTTGGAATCGATCAAACGGTTGATTCGGGTCTCGAGTGAGACGGTGGGTCGATTCATCGACGGTGGAAGATTCAGCTGAGAAGCCGTCTTCGTCGTCGTTGTACTGGTCGAAGGAGGATCTTCTTCTACTTCCATGGTAGATTTGATCCTCTTGCTTTTTGGTTCCTCCAGATTTGACGAACTTGAGAATGAAACCC